ACCTGCTGGCACCGTTTCACCCGGATCTGGATGACAGGCCAGAAGCGGCTCATGTTCTCCAGCAGGATCACTCTGCTGTCTGAGGGCAGGATGGTCACCTGCAGGCAGACAGACAGCCCTCAGCAACCAAGACAGGCGCCAGCCACCCTGTTAAAGCTGAGGCCTCTGTCCCCCACCAGCAGCTCCTATGCAGCCACAAGGCACCCCCCGCCAGGACCCCACTTCTGGCTGACAGCCCCAGCACACCAGGCTGCTGTAGCCCAGGCTGCATCATTGCCCATGCCCAAGTCTCCAGCACCCACCGCCTACAGCCAGGAGGAGGCTCCCACAGCACAGCTCCTGCCATCCCCAACTCCCCATGGGCATCTCCCAGGGCCCTGCACTGGCACAGGACCTTCCTGGGACACAGCAAGAACCAGCCACCGCTCCCATGGGGCCCCATGGCCTGAGCAGCCCTCAAGAGACTCACCGCATTGAGCTCGGTTCTGACGGTGGCAGGGCTGTCTCCGCCCAGCACCACAACACGGGCCGGCATGTAGCTGGAGTCCTCGCTGGCCACCAGCATGCTCATCTCCCTGCAGCACAGCAGACGTGGTGCTGCCCAGCAGTCCCCACCTCATGCCCTGGCCCCTGCCAGCCCCACATGCCACTGCCCACATCCAGCAACCCCCAGTACAGGGACCACTGGGGCTTGCACAGGGGCCCGAAGCCATCTCCTCCCACCAGAGCTGCCTGCCCTCCATGACCCAAAGCCCCCCCCAGCCCTCCCAGCTCAGCCCCACCTGACCACCACACCACACTGCATGTGGACAGTGATGAAGTGGGAACCGGGGCTGCCATTTGATTCCCAGTAGGTCATGGGATTCCTGTCCGTGAGCTTGCTGGCCCTGTGGGGGCTGGAAGAGACCTCCACCTTCTCCCAGCATTTCTCCTCCTTCACCTCCATGCTGGAGCCTGCGGGGAGAAGCACACAGAGCTTCCAGCAGCCAGGCCAGCATGTGCCAGGCACGGGTTCAGCTCCTGCTCACAACACTCACCTCGGCACAGGTTGTGCAGAAAGACATCAAACAAGGGGATGCTGATGGGCTGGTGGCTCCGGCGATGCTCCTCGATCTGCCCCAGGACCAGCTATGGGATGGGGCGAGGCTCTGACCAGGGGCCCTGGGTCCTCCTCCCCCCACGCCCCACAGGGATGCGGCAGGCAGAGAGCAGGAGGCTGCCCCTTGGTGCCAGGAGCAGCTGGACAGCCCCGAGACCCAGAGTCCAGCACCACAGGACCCCCCAACCCCACCTGGATGCAGCCAGCCAAGATGCCGGTCATCAGCTTCTGGGAGATGTCAGCGTGCTTCTCGCAGTCACCCACCAGGGCGAGCAGGGCTGGCGCCAGCGGCGGGGCCGTGCTGTGCTTGTTCAGGGCTTTGGACAGAGCCTCGCGGGTGCCCACACAGCACATCACCACGGCACAGTCCTTGCTGGTGGTGGCCAGGCGGTGCAGGAAGCCAACGACCTCCTGCAGCACCTGCAGAGCAGCAGCTGTGAGCAGCCAGGACCCACCAGGCCCCACCAGGCCCCAGCACCACGTGCTGCCGTGCCCCATCCCCTCCACCCAGCA